CCCCAAAACCCCAAAACCCCAAAACCCCTTACTCTGGTAATTCTTAGATATTTGATATGTATTATATTTTTGAGAAAATAGTTAAATTCTGGGTTAACTGTCAACAACAGAAATCTAGTTGAAATCACTGAGCTTTTCTGGTGGGTGATCTGGTTGGGGACTAAGTTGGTGATCCGCCTCCTCTGATAGGGGAGTTCTCTCTGAGTTCTTTGCCTACTAAGGTCTTTTGGATGGCAATTTTCTCACTGAATTTCTTGAGAGGATCTTTTCTTTCCATCTTTTCAAGTTCAGCTGGGGTATATTGATCCAAGAACTCATCAATAGATAGATAACCTCCTCCAACACGGACTAAAATAATTTAAACTCATTAAGAAATATCTTACTGTTAATCTTGTCCTTGTCAACTCTAACAGCTACTCTTTTGGATCCGAATTAGTAGACACCCTCACTTTCTCTCATGAACATGATCTTGAGCTTCTGTCTATCTGGGTAATTGTTGATGAATTCAGCAAGTCTCTTATCAATGACATCGTCCTTCATTGGGATATATACAGCGATTCTTTGCTTAAGTTCAATGATATAATTCTTCAAGGTTTCAATTTCAATCTCAGCATCTTTCAATTGTCTTAATAGCTCAAGAGAGGTTTTATTGGCTTTGTATACTTTATCTTCGAGAGCAAGAATGTAATCAGAAGCAGTTTCTAATTCCTTTTGAAGTTTCTTCTTTTGTTCGTCTTGTTGTCTGTTAAGGGCAAGTTGAATCTTAAGTTGGTCTGCAATATCGGCATTGAGTCTGATGATTTATTCTTGTTCGAGGACCTTTTGTTGTAGTTGAAGGATGATTTCTGTTTGCCCTATTTTGAAAATTAGTATAATTTTAAATGAATGATACATTTAATCTTAGTATCTCTCTCAGAGAGCAGAGCTTCGTATCTTAGTTGCTGATCCATCTTTTCCTTCTCAAGTTGGGACTTAATGTCCATCTTCTCTCTTTCAAGTCTGTTAACAGTATCAATTAATTACTTCTCTTTCTGTACAACAGCTTCTCTAAGCTTCTTGCACTCTTCTTGAAGTCTAGTGTTCTCATTAATAACGGAATCTTAGAAAGTTTTGTTCTCAACTGATGTTTGCTGGATTCTAATGCTGGTCTCCTTAATGTGGATCTGTAACTCAACTCTCTTCTTCTCTGAGTCTTGAGATACACCCTGAGCATTCACAACATCTTACTCAAGATCTCTTATCACCTAGAGCAAACATTAAGATTGAAAGATATTTTACCTCAACTTTCTCATTCAAAGCAATCACTGTGGTCTTAAGGTGATCGAGCTCAACATCTCTTTCATTCAAATTTCTGAGGTTGTCAGTGAAATCTTTGGTGATCGAATCTACAAATCTATTAGAGATCTATCGAAATACCGTTGGGGTTTTGAGATCTTTTAGATGGGGATCCAGTCTTAGATTTGGACATGGCTAAATATTTGTGAATTAAAGTAGCTGAATAAAATAAAATTATAATTAGATAATTTGAAAATTAATAAGAAAAGCTAAACATAATGAGCATGATAATATAATAGTTCATTCATTGGTGATCCATCTAACCCTTTTTCCTTCTTTCCATTCTCCTTTCTTTACTTCCTGTTTAGATGTGTGGTAGATGCCTTCTCCGTGTTGCTTACCATTGTACCATTCTCCATCGTACTTTCTGCCATCTGGCCAAATGAAGACTCCTCTACCTTGCTTTTTATCGTCAAAGTAATCGCCTTCATATCTTCTTCCGTCAGCCCATGTGAAAACTCCTTTACCATGCATTTTATTATTCATCCATTGACCGTCATAGCATCTGTTATCAGCCCAGATGTATACACCTCTACCATGAATATTATTATCAGAAAATTGCCCTTCATAAGTAGATCCATCAGCCCACTTGAATTTACCATGACCGTCCTTTTTTCCATCGACATAATCTCCCTCATAGCAAGCACCATCTGGCCAAGTTTCTTTACCATGTCCATGCTATTTGTCTTCTTTCCACTGACCTTCGTATTATGCTCCATCAGTATGCATATATTTTCCATATCCATGAGCTTTATCATCTTTCCAATCACCCTCATAAACATCTCCATCAGCATGAATAAGTCTTCCTCTTCCATTTGCTTTATCATTTTTCCAGTATCCTTCATACAGGGATCCATCAGCCCAAATTTGATAGCCTTTTCCGTCCCTTTTATTAGTTTCTTCATTCCACTCTCCTTCATATCTAGCTCCGTTTTCGAGAGTAATCAAAGCTCTCTTCTTTCTTTTGACTCCATCATTGTCAGTGCTGTTGCCATACTTGAATGGCCCAAGCCTTTCCTTGATTTCTTGCACTTTTAGGTTAGAGTAATTAGGTGTATTGACACCATAACTATGGCCACCCATAGTTTTAATTTTGAATCCATACCTCTGTTCAACTCTTCTTCTTGATAAAGCACCTCTAAATAATGCCTGAATTCTAATAATAATTTTCATCTTGTCTTGTCCTTTAAGTCCAAGTACTTCTCTATCATCAAAGAGCATAGTGTTTAATTTCTAGTAGTTAGGGCCGTGTTTCATTTAAATTTCACCCTCATTGGCATTACCGCTACAGCAATTTCCCATATTATGTTAACTTCAAAAATAATAATTATTAATTACGTTTATTCATTTTAATTAAAAAAAAGTAGTAAATTAATGAAAAATTCATTCCAAAGTAAACTCAGTCTCATTTTCTACTTCTCTCAAGAATTTTAGATATATTCTTGGATAGCTTGCTTTTCTTTAGTAGCTCTTATCTTGCATCCTTCTTTATTTTTTCAATTTCAATGCTTTTCTAATCTTTTTCGTATATTTTATCTAATTTTGATTTGAACTAACTAATTCTAGGAATATCATTGCGATTTTTATTGCTATTTTGATTTGGAGCTTGCTTCTTCTTAATTTTCCAGTCTGCTTACTTTTTCTATTTTCTTAATAGCACTTTTTATTGATTCTTTTTCTCAGCAAAAATCCTTTTCTCCCTTTAACTCTTCGGTTTTACATCTTATTATTCATGCTACAAGTTATCTTCACTCTTGAGAATGCTCTCTACTAATTTATTTAGACTCATTTTAAGAAAGTTATAAATATTTGTAATTAATACTAAATTAAAAGGCAATAATAAGTAGAGAGTTTTATTTCTAGTTAAAATAAGACAATAAAATTTAATCATATAAATATAATGGGTAATCTTTCTAGTAATCTAAACTAGAACATACAAGAGTTTGCCAATAATTTAATCGAATAAGAGCGGTCCAAAAATAATTCGCTTAATTAATCAAGTATCTATAATATGATTTGATCAAATTTTAGATAATGAAGATGAGAAGCAAGAATCAGATAATGGATCATTAGTAAGTATGAAAGCATTAACAGGGGCGGGATTACATGGATATATTCCGAATATGACTTTGAAATCTGTGAGAGTTCTCGTTGATCAGAATATATAATTCGATGTTGAATTAGTATCTGATAGTTTGACTTGCGGTTGGCTTATAAGTGAAGTCACTCGACTCTACACAGAGCTTCTAAAGGAGAATAATAAACTAGTAGCCTAATTCTAAAAAAAGGAAAAAGATTTCCATTAAATTATCTAGAATAGCAGAAGGTAGCAATTAAACTTCAAACAAGGATAGAAGGGTAGTGCTTTTGGTGTTAGTGGTAATGGGTTACAAAAAGAAAAAAAGAAGCTAATTGTTGCATTAAAAACCTATGACTAAAATGAGAATATTGATCATTGGCTTACAATGTACGACAGAAATTTAACTCCGATTCAGGATGGTGAAGTTCTGATCACTGTCTTTGCAAAATTAGCTGCAAACAAACGCAAATCCATTTCAGCAGGGGATTTTGAGCTTGTGAAAGTTATCGGAAGAGGTGGTTTTTCTAGAGTATTGCTGGCTAGGAAAAAAGATACAGGCAGACTATATGCCATGAAAATTCTTAAAAAATCCAAAATCATTAGAGAGAAGAAAATAAAGCCAATACTCAGTGAAAGAGCTGTTTTAGAGCAACTTGATCATCCATTCATTGTAAAATTGCATTGGGCATTTTAGTCTAAAGAGGAGCTATTCTTTGTTATGGATATTTGCACAGGTGGAGAAATATTCTTTCATTTGAACAACTTTAAGAGATTCCCAGAGTAACTTGCAAAATTTTACTTTATTGAAATTCTTCTTGGTCTGGAATACTTGCATCATAAGGATATTGTTTACAGAGACATTAAGCCAGAAAATATTCTGATCGATATTGAAGGGCATGTGAAGATAGCTGATTTTGGATTAGCTAAATATATTCCTAGGAGGGAAAAATCCTATTCCTTTTGTGGTTCACCAGAGTATATGTGCCCTGAAATGCTAAGAGGAAGAGGTCATGATAAGTAGCTAGATTACTATTGCTTAGGTGCTCTTTTGTATGAGATGCTGACAGGATTACCTCCTTACTACTCAAAAGATACAAACGAAATGTACCATAGGATCCTAAATGATTAATTGATTTTTCCTGACTATTTGAATAGAAATCATCCTGTAATTGATCTGATGATTGGTTTATTGGCAAAAGACCCAAATCAAAGGATAAGAGAAATTGAAGAAATTAAAGAGCATCCTTGGCTTAAGGATACAAAATGGAAGAAATATCTTAGAAAAGAGATCACTCCCCCATTCGTACCGTCAATGAGGGAATCTAATTTTGATCCAGAATTTAATGATTTACCTGTAGACTTTGATGAATTAAAATTAAGATAAAATACTGAAAGAAGGTAATCTTATTACTATGAGTCAACTGTTTAATCTAAAAATTGTACAGAGAATAGTTTTTACTTTAACAATCCTAATCCGGTTATGGGAGCTGTTAATAATCAGGGAGACGGAGATAGCAGTAACGGAGGTGGTACAACCACATTCATATTAAACACGAATCAAGCATTATTCAATAATTTCTTTGCTCATCCTGGAGATGATATTAAGGATATCTATAATGATTCAAGTGGAACAAACAATAATAGCAAGAATAATTCAATCCAAAACATCAAGTAGCAAGCAAGGCCCAACACCTAAAATTAGTAAATGAACAATCAATCTTAGAATTCAAAGACAGAGGTAGATGACAGTGACATCTTCAAGAACTTTTCATTTTATGACTCTCCAATAGAGGAGAATGAGATCATGGAATAGATTAAGAGATGCTGTATCAGGATAGGCCAGCTCCCTCAGCATCTATATTCTACGAATCCTACAGGAAATCATCTAACTAGTAATGCATATTAAAATCAGCTAAATCAAAATCTTTAAAAACTGTCTTCATAAATGTCCTAATGGATGTCAAGTTAGAAAAGATTAATATGTGAGGAGTAAGAGGATGAAGAGGAGAGTAACCAATAATAAAAATCATCCCAAAATAATGAAGCTGAAGAGGGTCCTGTTCAACTGCATGCTCTCTAGAGTGAATCTAGCAACTCTATTTGCCTAGATCAACATGATATAGCTCTAGATACTGTAGTTAATTCTAAGCATTCTGTGTATTACTAAGGAGTAAAAAAGACTCATGAATCACCAAAGAAATTAGGTCCAAGAGAATCATCCAACACTGAGAAAGCAATACCAACCAAGCGCAATCTTTATTAAGATGCAGCTAAAAAGAAGAAAGCTGAGAATCCTTATTAGATAAATGGGCATCAATAAATTATTGATGATTTTACTAATGTTGTAGGGAGTTTCTCTTCAAAGTCTATAGATACTTATGATGAATCAAATTAAAGTGTTGCATAAGAATTAAACACAAATGAGTCAATAGCAATGCAAAATTACACAATTGCAAATATGAAGTAGAAGGGTCAGACTCCTCTGAATCATAAGTTGATGAATAGTGATGAGGTATAGCAAGAAATAAATTAGATTGTGCCTAAGATAAGTCACAACTATAAAAAATCCATGGTAAATCCTAAATAAATTAGGCCTTCACTGGAAATTTAACTTCCAGATTAAGACCCAGACATTATGTATCAAAGTAGAATTAAAAAGGATACAACAACTCACAAAACTGCTGCATTCCTACCAAATCAAATTGCCTCGCCAAGCACTGTAGTTAAAAAGAATCCTAATTTTGGCTCTAAAAATGGTATTAACCTGCATTAACATAGTAATACTCATAGCGGAGGGGATAAGACAAGCCCAAATTATAAATAGAGCATTAAGAATTCATTTAATAACAATAATATTGAAGGACTTAAATTAAGATTGAATCAATCACCTTAAACATTATAAAAACCATCAGATTTCAACTCGTAGTTATCATAAGGAACTTATCAATAGCTGACAAGTTCAACTGGGTATGCAACTTACTCAACATTATAAACTAACAGTGCAAATAAATTTTAAACACCAGACTAAAATGACATCATAAAATCCTCATATGATAATGATAGGTAAACTGGGAAAAAATCTTTCTTGCATGATTCTGTGCAATAATTGAACAAGCAGTATCAAAATATGATTAATGGCAACTCAAATTTTTAAGAGGAGATGAATGAAAAATCCCCGCTTGAAAAATAAAAGGTAACTAATGCCAAACGAACTACTGCTAAATTTAGAAGCATGGATTTGACAAGTTAGTCTCTTAATAGGATTAATGGGAAGTTTAATGGTGAAGGTAGCGACAGAGGTGGCTATAATCCAATGCCAAAGAGTAAAAAGCAATAGGAAATTCTAGCAGATCTTAAGGAAGCATCATTAGAAGGTGGAAACTCAATTAGTTTGTCACCATAGAGATCAATGATGCCTGAGCTACAGCCTAATCCTGGAAATAAAATACAAACTCTAAAGAAGACGAGAGTATAGTAATCAAAGCAGCAAAAGAATATTAAAATGAAATTAGGTCTTTGATCTAAAGCTTGGTGATTTATAAGAAGAGTAATCTAATTATTGTTAAGTTTGATAGAAAATTTAAAATGCCTTTATTTATTCTTACAAACTATTAAATTAGCATTGAATACTCCTTTGGGGTTTTGGGGTTTTGGGGTTTTGGGGTTTTGGGG